GCATTAGCAAATATTACATGCGCCTACAGTCTACAGGTTTAGAATGCTGCACTAATTGATCAAGGACTCAAGGTAGTGGTAGAGGTGTAGGAATTGACCTATAGTGACGTCAAAGGCTTTGCTTTCTAATGCTTAGTTCGCTTTCTTTCCGTCATATGGTGTTCGCCCTATAATAAGTAGTGACAGTGGTCCCCTTCAAATGTGTGGGTTAAGTTCTATTAGTGAATATGTAGGCAGAAGACCTGTTGAAGTGTTCGCGTAGCTTTTCAGAGGATAACTGAGGGAAAATCCTTTGAGGGGACCTAAAGCCAAACCCTGAAAGTTCCTTTAGAAAAATGTTAAGCCAAAGGCAACATTTATGGAGAATAACAAGTTGAATAGTTGCCAAGCATTCAGTTTACAATAGGTGGCAAAAAAAACTCTGATCCGAAGCAAACACGGAATCCTTGTAAATCAAGAAACATTTAAAAGGAAAAAGAAATATATAAAGAAATGCTAATTTTACTAGGAAACAAGAATGACAAAATTATCTAAACCAAAGAAAACTAAAATTCAAATCCTAAATTACCCGTGTAGTGCCCCTGGTGTTTAGCTCAATTGAGAAAGCTTGATGGCCTTGTGTCTTTGGTCATATGTCCAAGCCCTACGCCAAGCGAACCAACTCTGGTGTTTAAGTAGGGAAGGGTAAAGGGGACAAGCCCATCATCCCACTGTTTCAAAGGCTGTGGTTGGCCCGAAAAGCCGGCTCCAGACAGATTTCTCGGTCCTTGGAAAAAACTAGAGTAGTACGTAGATAGCTGTAGTATGGACAAAATTTGTTTCACATATGAGAAATGAGTACTTCATATTTAGTGGTGATAGCCCTAGATTTTCCTTGTTATTTTATATTATGCAGGACATGTTGTAGCATCGGAGCTTCTTTGTGTGTTTCTTATTGTTATCAGTTTTTCAGTAAAGTATTCATCATTGCTGGCATTCAGCCACAACTGATCCAAAGCTCAACTAGCAATTAGCTTGCAATTGTCTTCTGATATGCTGAGTGCTCCTTGTTTTTAGATCCTGGCTTGGATGTTCCACATTTAAATGTCAATTTGTTTCTGTAGATAGAAAAAATAACAAACAGTTCACCAAGTGACTGCGTGTTCATGTCATTTCATGTATCATGCATGTGTAAAGTAACAATTCTCTTGATCCGTGGTTACAGTTATGGGAGTGTACCTGTTCTAAACTTTTGTGGGTTGACTAGAGATGAGAAATATGTTGTGATTTATGCTCCTCTGTTGCGAGTTTTGAGATCTTACTTTCTTGATCTCCAAATGCAGGGTACAATCAACTTTTCGTCAACATATGAAAGTAGGACCAGGAATGTAGAAAGTTCTGTGGCTGCTAGAGGAGATTTGTGGAGAGTAGAGGCATCACAGGGCAGTTCCACTTCAGGAAATGATAATTCTTCCCTGTTCCTTGTTCAACTTGGACCAGTACTTTTTGTCCGTGATTCAACACTACTTCTGCCAGTTCACTTGTCTAAGCAACACCTTCTTTGGTATGGCTATGACAGGAAGGTATCCAGACTATAACTTTAGGACATTGTTTGCTTGTATTGAAAAGTCTTCCAGTACTTTTGGCCTTCTGGGCACTGTTTGGGGGTGTGTGTGTGTGGGGGGGGGGGTTTACTGGTACTGGTTTTATTGTAGTATGTTCTGTTGTCCAGACACTAGTCTATCTATTCATGATAGTGTAGTTTGTGGTAGGTTTAATGTAATTGTTGAATCAGATTTGTCTTAAGTGATTTGCAGTCTAGAAGTAGGGTACCGCTATATGAATATACCATCTCTAATTTTCACATAGTTTATCTTATATTCTGGAGATGAGATGCCATGAAATCATTTTTAATACCGATCCTGCTTGATGTCCCTGTGTACCAAATTTAGTCAAGAAATTATTACCTTATTGACTGAATAATTTCAGAAACCTTGCATACCAAAATGACTCATTTTTTTACATTAGTTGTGTGTATAATAATTACGTTAATTTACTTGTCTCTTTTGACAAATGGACAGCGTGGAATGCATTCTATTTGTCCAGCTGTGTGGTCGAAACATCGAAGGTGGCTTCTTATGTCGATGATCTGTCTGAATCCTTTGGCCTGCGTAAGTAGAGTTTTATATTCATGTACACTACTGGTATTTCTGCTAGTTTTGTGGAGTTTTGGTTGCTCCCGTTCTTTTTTTTTAATCATGTTTGCGCATGCCACTTCTCTTTCATTGGAGAGTTACTTTCTTTGACTTTGTGCTAGCTGAGGATATAGCTGGTAACATTCCCCTGGCGGTCACGCTCTATTAAGTCTTTAATTTTTACAGAAAGATCTGAAAAGCTTTAGTCAGCATGCTCTCAGTCACTCTTCCCTATTCGTGCATCCTTGAAATTTTTGCCTTATGTTCTAGTCCACATATTGTTGAGGTGATGATTATTGCGGCACTCTCCTGTTATGTCAGTGTTGTTCACAGTCTAGTGACCCATGATTTTGTTGGATGAGGGTTGTACCTCTTATTTGTTTTGTCATGTTTAAGGGCTCTGGTGACGGTAACGAGATGGTGTGCACATGATTGCTCTCTCTTCTTACCTATGTAATTGATTTGTTTGTTGCGCGCACGTTTTGCTGCTTGAACCCCCCACAAAAAAAAGTAAAAAACGGCAGGTGCTGTTGGAAAAGCATATTATTGCATTAGATTTTTATTTACTAAGTAATAGTCATACTCCACATTCTTCAGACCTGAGGGTGCTTTTCCTTGCCAATAAAGTAATAGTTCATTGATAGGCAGGAAGTCCTGGTTACCACTGATATATACAAAGTAGAGAACCTGCGTCATTTTTATATGGTTCTCTATTAAAACTACGAAATTCGCCTCAACATTCACTTCTCCTGAGTGTTTATTGAAAGATTGCTGCTTCTCCAGTATCTCCAGGTCTAGGCCGTAACTAATTGAGAACTTCTTTTTGCATCTCTTATGCCATTATATTACTATAGTATAGATTGCTCATTAGAGGCGAAGGAAGAAGATTGGTGTTCATCAATTAATTCAGAAATGCAGTAGCACAACTATATATGTCCATTAGTGAATCCTACAACATAATCTATTGAGTTGCTTCAACTTGATCTAAATTTTTTTATTACTAACTACATACCCTCAGCCACATATCAACAACAAAAACAAGTGGAGTCTGGGAGGTTATGCAGACCTCTTACCCCTAATTGTGGGTGGGTGGGTGGGGGGGGGTTGTGGTGGTGGTAGAGAGGCTGTTTTTGGTAGACCTTTCAGCCATGATGTCCTAAATTTTTTAAGGCCTGGAGAAAACAGTTATTTGTCTCACAATACTTTCTTCGCATCGGTAATTTCCCATAGCGAAATCCCCAACACTGCTTTACGTTTAGCACATGCTAGAACAGAGACCCAGTGATTAGAGGTGACTTGCAAACCTGATATTTTATACAGGATGCAGCGTTGAAGTATTCATCTTCATTAACTCGTTTGTTGGTGATCATGCTTAGTTTATACACAAGCAAGAACAGTTTTTTAAGGGAGCACGGTAACTTCTCTCATGCAGATAATCTAGATGCTTTTTTGGACAACCTGGTAATCTTTCTTTCCAGTTCTGGCTTAGATGGGTATGTGACCATTCCCCACTTAGGTAGCAGACTTGGTTCACAAGGATTTGATCTCAGATGCTTTTCTACACTGTTGTTTTTCTGGAATCGTAACTTTATTTTCTTTCTTAGTAACTTATTGAACCTCTTTATTTTGCAGTCGTTTATGGACTTGCAGTTTCCAAATGGTCAAATAACTTACGTATCTGGGGAGGGTTTGTCCACCAGTGCCTTTTTACCTCTATGTGGAGGTTTGCTTCAAGCCCAGGGTCAATACCCGGGGGATCTCAAGTTCAGTTTCTCTTGCAAGGTGAGGTGATGTTTAATGTGAGGAAGTATTTGACATTCAATGATTTCTGTACCTTTTCCCACTTTATCTGGTGTTTATTTAAGAACAATATTTTCACTTATTATATGCAGAATAAATGGGGAACATGCATTACACCGATGATGCATTGGCCCGACAAATCATTTAGTTTTGGGGTTACCCAGGCATTAGCTTGGAAGAGATCTGGTCTCATGTATTGGCCAACCATTCAAATAAGGTAATACTGACTGCTTCATATTTATTAACACAGACTTTTCTGCTATTTGCTGTTTATGGTGTTTCTATCAACATCTGATGGTGCAGTTGCATTAGCAAATATGGAGACGTTTCTGCCACAATTGTGTGGAGTTTTTTGGTTAGAAGTTCTCTACATTTTAATGTGAGGCTGTAATCTTCAATTATGATAGCCTTTTCCTGGTTTTCTCTGTGTTGTGACAATTATGTTCGTTGCATTTGCATTCTGCTTACATGTACAGTCACTTAGAGCTTGATAAGTATAGTTCATCTCTTCCTTCTTTAATGCGGTAACAAGATTATGAGTCACCTTCTAATCTCATTACACCATCAGCGTATGCCCGACATTTGGTGGGAGCACTCCCGGTTTGCAGGCAGACATCACACATTCTCTAAAGGAGGGATTAAATATCATCTGTGGCTGTGCACTTGCAACACACTCTTCTGCGTTTGCATCATTAGCTGTGAGTCATTCCTGAACTTTTACCCACGTTCCTGCTTCTTTCTTTTTGTTTGATAGAAATCTTTTTCTTGTGCAAATGCAGCTTGGGCGGTCAAAGTGGAATGGAAACGTTGGAAGCTCAGGGGTTGTTCTTAAGGTGGAAACCCCTCTTGGCAACACTGGCAGGCCGTCCTTCTCCATTCAGTTGAACAGCGGCATCGAGTTTTAATACACTTGAGAATTCCCCCCGCCCAAAAACCACATAATACTGCAATCATCTGTAAATAGGACTGTTACATGTATAGTTCATCTACTGATCTCTTTACTGTGGTTATTTTTCTTTAATGGCAGAAAAGGGGGAAATCAGTAGCTCTTTAATCACACAAAGATAAGCGTATTTTTGGGGCTGATCTTGTAATTTTTGTATCCAAATTTCCTCTCTTAGAAGTCTCGAGCTCGTTATGCCGATGGTGTGCAGGAGGGAAGCTGTTGTAAATTATGTATCCCTTTTATTCCAAACTGACTGGTTTTTGGACTACTCCTTTTCCAATTCCATCCCATCAGCAAACTAATATATGCTTTTCGAAAGAATATATTATTATAACTGATGTATAAAACGTGTTTCAGTTTCAGTTGCATTGAATGTTCATACAAAAAAATAAATAATCGTGCATCTTTATTATTAATTATGTATCTCCATTATAAACAATGGTAATGAATTAGTATTCATTTACAATATTAGAATGAGTTGACATTCTGACGAAAAAATAATAATAAAAGCTATCATCTAAAATGGTTAGAATCTACAGGCTTAGAGAGCGAGATTCAATGTTGGTACTGGCTTTAATACGCCATTAAGAGGATCACTAATAATAGCATTGAGCTCTTCAGTTTCAATTGCCTCATTTTGTACAGTTGGACCGTCTTTCTCATTCTTTCTGTATTCCCCATTCTTTCTTTTCACTCGGCAAAGTACATAATTTTCTTTGTTATTTTCCTAAAAAAAAAAAAATTGAAATTAATATGTCATTTTAATGAGGCCGTGGGTGGAAATTTGATATCTATCGTACATATTTAAAAAATGTATAATATCGAGTATCGAATAATTATTTCGATTTTTTTTTCTTTTTCTTTTTTTAAATCAAAGAATTCTGAATTGTGGTGAACTTACACGTAATTGTTTACGCAATTGGTTTTTGACTTCCGCTGATAACGAATATTCCTTCATAAGCCATTGTCCATCGTGTTCGGACCCTCTCAATTGATACCTTAAACTTCTTTTGTATCCCAAAACCGAACCTCTTTCACTAATTATAGCTTTTCCTCTGTCTTGTGATTTCCATGAACCATCTCCAACGGTTCGAACAAATCTCAAATTTCCTTTCTTCAATTTCTTCAGCTCTGTAAAACAATAAATCGTCTTCTCTTTTCTAGCATCAAAAAATACCCATGGGTCTTTTAAATAAAGATCTTCTTCTTCAATTGGAACTAATGTAGGCAACGGATTATCTATTACGTAATGTAAAAGGTATTTCATCAATTCTCTATCGGTAGGATGAAATCGAAATCCCTCTGTATACGCAGAATACGAGATACATTCTGGTTTGTAGGTCATGGTTTGAGCCATGATGTTTGAGCTTAATGTAACAACGATGTTTGTCTGTCTCTCTCTATATATAGAAACTTTTTACGTCGGTATAAGTATTGGTGCGAGGTTTGTCTGTATGTATATATATAGACTTCTTTTTTACGTCTGACAGTTTGTATTAAACTAGGAATAGGAATATGTATAAAGCCTTGTTTTTGTTTAATTAGGTAACTTAATATTGTGTTGGTATTATATTGTAACTTTAGAGGAATATGGAGATCGAATAAAGTAGGTAAGCCCTTCCATTTAAAGCGGTGGAGAAAAAAACCAAATTTGGGTAGAATTTTGCATGTTTACATTTAAATAAGGTCTGTCCGAATATAATAAAGGATACACTATTATAAATAAGGATTGTTAATGCATCAACGAGTATTGACCTAAACTGAATATTACACGGCCAAAGTTTTATTAAAAATCAACAAGAATTCCTTATAAAGAAAAAAATTTACGTGGATAAGCAAACTTATGCTATTTAATTACTCATCATAGTTATAGTTTGCTATAATTATCACTCGCGACTAACATCATATATTAATTACGTGGGGTAACTTCAAGTTTGTATAATTAGTCATGTTTGTATATGTATAATTCGCCAGGATATACAAATATAATATACAATTTTTTAGCGTATATACATATACAATTCACCTCTCTCCCACTCTTTGCCCTCTCTCGCTCGCCTCTCTCCTCTCTCTCTCTCTTAATCTCGCAT